GGGGCGACTCGAAATTGCCCGATTTAAATCATTTCCACTGTAATCGCCACCCCAGTCCTCACAGCCCGCCGGTAACGGCCTTCCTAGCTTCCCGCGGCAGGCAGCGGGAATTCGGTCGCTGAGGATGATCAGAGCCCGGGGAGGCTCCGAGCCACCCGGCCAGCTTTGAGCTGAGCCCTGCGCTGGGGAGGAGAGCGCAGTGTGGACTCCAGAGCCGCTTTCCGACCTAAATTAATCGTCACTATTGCGACAGTCTGAGTTTGCATTAAGTGAAACTTTACGCTTTAGGTATCTCCTCCTCTTGAGATATATTTAGGCCAGATTTAACGGGTTACTAACAGGCCTCATTCCCTGGGTGACAGAGCAGCTGTGGAGCCTCTAGCCCAGCTTTCAAGACCTTGGGACAACCCAAAACCTCCTCATCAGTCCTTTGGCTCGTATTCTGCAAACACAGATGCCGATATTTAACGACGCTGCTTTGAATAGCTCCATTCAAAGGCAGCTTCTACAGAGGCTTGAATATTTTAATAATATAAAAAAAAACCCAAAGTGCAACAGCCAAAAATAGTAGAAGACCTATTTATTGTATCATTGGCATCATCTTTACCACAAGTCTTTCAGGTTTTGATTATCTTGCTTGTTTTTAAGCGTTTAAGCTACATTGTAATGAAAACATAGTGCTAATAAGATAACTAAACTTTTCCCATAATAAATTAACTATCAATTAATCATTCCTTTATCAGAACGGATAAAATTACAAATGAAATAACCAAGTTGCTAAGGCTTTCACTAAAGCTTTCTATAAAAAATGTGTCATTAACAGAAACTCTCTCTGCTCACTTCTTGAATAATACCCCAAAAATGCCCAACTGAAAAGAGACGCCGAGGTCCATCAGTACCTGCGTTCTACTGAGTTCAACCCTGCGGTATGCTATGTAGGTCCAGGAATGTCACCCAGTCAAAAAACGCGGCAGCTGGACCACACGCTAAATCTACACACACCTGCTGACACTTCCACCCGCTTTCCATTCCAATTTATTTACTGTACCAGCGTAAGAGTTACCTACTACGTGCAGCAGTGTTTAACCGCACATTTGGTGTTTTCTGTCACAGATGTATTTTTCTGCACATGCAGCACATCAAACACACAACAAAATATTTTACCTGCTTTAAACATCTCACTGATTAAGAGGAAACAAATTCAGACACAACATTCATACTTAGCAGTTTCTGACATAAAGTATTCATTTTAGCAATATAACCTTTTCTGACAAATGGTACAAAGCAAACTATAAAAAGATTCAAACAGAAAGCCAAATCAATGTAAATCTCATGTTCAAGGTTAAATTAAAAAAAAAAAACTAACTTTACTGATAAAGATTTTGTTAGCTGTGTTAGTGTTATGTAAAAAAAAAAAAACAACCAAAACAAAACAAAACCCAACTTACCAAATTACATGTAATTTACATTTACAAAGCTCAACAACTCTGTCAGTGAATGTTATCAGGGTAAAACATGAGTCCAAGCCAATATAAATTCTCTCAGGGCTCGTATTGTTGTGACAATACCTCACTGTTAACAACGCTGTTCTTCAATATTTTGCAACAAAATCCAAAATACTCTTGAAAGATGTTATTGATGATCTTTGGTTTTTTCTTGCCTCTATAAAATGGAAATAAAAAGAGAAAATATCAAGACGAATGTTGACACAAAACACTGCACAACTTTAGAAAAGGTTTTAGCAGAA